GCTCTACCACTGAACTGTTATCACTCATCTACCTTGATTTTCTCAATCCGGGAATTGTCTATTTGCCCAGAATGATGCAAGTGAGAGTGTTCCTCATTGCCTTCTTGTGTGAGTGAGTGAATAAATGACTGATTTTAACCCTGTGTCTCAGAGTTAAAGCATAAAGGAACTTAAAAGGGCTATGAATACCACAGGACATTAATACGTATTCCCTAGAACAGTGTTGTCCAAACTTGGCTATTTAAAGAGGAGTGGACTCCACCCCCCAGATTTCCCCAGCCAGCATGGCTGGCTGGAGAATTCTAGGAGTTGAAGTCCACTCATCTTAAAGTGGCAAAGTTTGGACAACACTGCCCTAGAATCAGGGGGAGGGATAGTAACATTCACCCAAAAAATACTGCTTTCTTATTCAGATTATATTATTATTTTTTATTAGTGAACCTATCAGACAATAATAAAAACAAGGCAACAGTGACAAAATAATCAAAAGAGCACACACACTTATTTCTAAAGTAAAACTTAAAAAAAAGTTCCATATGATTTTAATATACATGCAGTTCAGTCCTTTGACATATAAGTAAACCTATGCCTTATTGAAATGGAACATTTTTTTTTCTTTTCTACAGTATAAACATGTTTCAAAAATTGACAAAGAACCATGTCTTGAATCCACTCTTTGACATCTGGAGTGTTGTTTTCTTTCCACTTGTATAGAATGATTTTCTTAGCTAATCCCAGGGTTCAACAGAGCCAAAACTCTTCATAAAATGTCAAATTACACATCACATCACATTTACCTCTTTAACAATTTCCCCCCGCCCCCACAAATTGTATTAACATACTTAATCACTTGAGACCAAAAATAAACTATTAAGGTACTTGACCAAATCTTGTGAGTTAAACAGCCCTCACATTTCTTACAACTTGTTAAAAAAAAAAAAATCAAATATCCATTCTTTTTAAAATATTCCTTGGGAGTTGAATAAAAATGAAATAAAGTTTTTTGATGACTGAACTTCATTCTTAGATCATAAGAAGTATATTTGGTCTTAAAGTTCTGCTCATAAATATATGAGTTATACTGATCCATCTTATCTGGAATTTTAAATTCTATGTAGTGGTGACCCTAAGTAAAAAAACAAAACAAAACCCTGAGTTATTTCTCATCTTCCTACTTAACGTTCTTTGCACTATGTACACTACATATGTAAATTTAGTAGGTGTACTACTTGTGTTTTACATGAAGAGGACAATAGTATATTTCAAGAGAGTTTTTTTGCAGTCTAACAGGATCCCTGAATCTCCTTCTTCTTTACAAGAATCTTAATTTTAAAAGAAAAAGGAGGAAAATATTTTACAAAATGAAGCATAGCCTTCAGCATTGTTGACCCCACAAGAGCACTAACAATATTCTCAGAATAAATGTCAAGGGGATGCAGTAACTGAAAATATGCCCAGCTACCTTTCTGCCAAACTTCTGGGAGTGGCTGGAAAATCATAGTTGGGGGCAGGGGAGGGGGGAATCATCCTGCTAACAAAAATCACTCTGTGAAACCTGAGAGAGTAGACAAGCAAATAAATCCAAGGAAGAGGTATATAAATTATTAGTTCTCTTTATACATGGAGAAAATATGTTGCTTTGTATGAGAAATTTATGATGCAAAGACTGTGATGCCATGAAGAAGTTTACGTGGACCTGTTAGATTTAAACTATTCAAACTATAGGTTTATTAAGTGGACCTGTTAGGAATAAAGTGTTGCTTATCCTTTGAAACAAAAATAATATAGTCTTCAAGGAAGACCTTCAGAAGTTAGAGCAGTTTCTTTATAGGTTTTATGCATACTAGTTGATCTTGCATTCTTATGCAAGAAGCTGGATCTTGATGGATCATATGAAACTAACAAGTTTTGTGTTGGAAAGGACACTTTATCAAAATACTCTGCTGTACAGGTAGTTCTTGCTTAACAACCACAATAGGGACCAGAAAATTGGTCATTAAGCGGTGCAGTCATTAAGCGAGTCACCACATGACCAGACCCAATTTTATGACCATTTTTATGACTGTCATAAGCGAATCACTGCTGTTGTTAAGCAAATCATGTGGTCATTAAGTGATTCACGTGGTCATTAAGCAAATCCAGCTTCCCCAATGGGCATTTTGTAAATCATGATTACATGACAGCAGAACACTGCAACTGGTTGTAAATGCAAACTGGTTGCCAAGTGCCCAAATTGTGATCACGTGACTGCAGGGGTGGTGCAACAGTTTGCAATAGTCATAAGTGCAAGTACAGGTTGTAAAGCACTTTTTCCGAGGCTGTTGTAACTTTGGACCATAGTTAAATGAACGGTTGTTAAGCGAGGACTAACTGTATAAAGGAAACATTCTTATGCAGTAACAAAGTATTGAGAGCAGCAGTTGCGTTTGAACCTGAAGAGAGAGAAAACTTGAGCTACTCATTGATATAGATTCTTTTGGAATTATTTCCTACCACAGAGTACATAAAATTATATGGCATTCATGTATTTCCAAACCTTCACAAATCTAATTATCCTATGCCTTCAGGAAGTAAGAATTTATCCAAATGGCAAGATGCAGCTACTGGGTAACCAAAGTATCCAGCATTTTCTTGTTTTCCTAAATATGTAGATACTATAGTCATGTTTTCTCTAAAGGCATTTTCAGCAAGATAAGATGATGATGATGATGATGATGATGATGATGATGATGATGATGATGATAATGATGATAAGAAAGACAAAAAAGTCTGGATAGTGGACATTGCAATACCCAGAGACAGCAGAAGAGAAGAGAAAGAACTGGAGAAAATCACAAAATATAAAGACGTGCAAATAGAAGTAGAATGACTATGGCAAAAGAAAGCAAAGATAGTACCAATAGTAATAAGTGCCTTGGGTGCAATCCTAAAACATCTGGAGTACCCCTTGAACACCATCAGCATTGACAAAATCACCATCAGTCAGTTGCAAAAGGCAGCTTTACTTGGAACAGCTTATATCCTGCAATGATATCTTTAACACCATCAAACAACATCTGCCTATCCCAGGTCCTTGGGAAGGGCTCAGTAGTGGAAAAATTGCCAAATCTAGTCTAAACATCTGGCTGACTGTGCGACCAACCACCACCACCACCACCATCATCATCATGGTCATCAAAGAGGTTGGAAGCCCCTTAAGGAACTCAGCAGCAGGATATGCTGTAGCTAGAGTGCATGCCAAATATAAAGATATCAAAAACAGTCTCTGTGTGTTAATGGCATCCACCATCAATATATTTAAGAAATACAGCCGTACTGAATAATCCATCAATTACTGAATGATCAAGGAAAGAAGTTTCCTTAGAGTTGAGTTTGCTGGTCAAAGACAAGTTACTTCTCATTATTTAGGCATATTTCTTGATTTGGGCTTAGAGGACAATGGCTCCTGTGGTGGAAATACTCCTGCAGCCCCATTTAATAATATTTGGTTTTGTGGTATTTATGCCTTTATGGCATGAGCAACAGAATGCCTGCTGTGCAGGGGAGCGGGGGGAAAGGAGAGATGTGCCTGGCATGTTATACGTAGTTCTTTAAAATAACTATGGTGCTGACATGATGACAGGTATACAGGGATGCTCAGAAAAAAAGAAAAGGGCAAGCCTAGGGATGGAAAGCAAAAAGTGGGAGGGAGGACTCCGAAGTCTGAACGGGAGGATTTGCAGAGGAAGCTAAGGACATGTTTTACCTACAGTACAATGTGTTTTGCTGGCTATAAGAATAAAAATCTGGTTGCTTGCTTTAGATTGATATGTGTCTTGCTTCTGTAATTGTGTGAACATTTGACTGGGGGCTGGGGGGGAGGGTTGCCTTTTGTCTATTTGTTTTCCCCTTTTTGTTGTATGAGAAATGTTGTATGAGCAATTTGTGTGGAGGAAGGTACATGTGACATGGGCCTTGTTTGCGTAAAGGCTTGTGTGTCTGAGTATTTGTCTAAGTTCTCTGAGCACCACCATCTGCCTTCTGAGGAAGGGCTGGTCAAATATATATAAGGGAGCTTTTGTGGCCAGACACCATTTCTTCCGAAAACAGGCTTCCAAAAAGTGGTTTTGTTTAGTAACTCAACTGAGATTTGACTTCCTCTTTTTGATTTCCCACCCTTGCAGACATAGTGGCCCTTCCTCAACTTCATGGCCGACAGCTCACAAAATGTTGCTGCTTTTACTCAGGCCTGGCATGTTACGAAACATATATCACTCCAAAGTTGTTTCTAGTCCAAAGTAGGTTTATTGCTTAAAAGGAAGGAAAAGCTACTCATATACAGTAGAAATACAAATGAAAGTCCTTTCCATTCAAAATAGATGCTAGTTACAGAATGATGACACGTGAAAAGGAGTTGTGATTTTCAGCTGCTCTAATGGCCTGCTGATGCCTGGTGATTGCATCTTCTAATGAAGAACTTCTTGGACATCTGGTCCTTGTAGGTCCCTGGAGTGGGATCTGTGGGACCTTGGGGTCTCTGGTTCAGGTTGCACCCCAGCTTGGCTAAGCATCAGAGGATTTTAGAAGGTAAGGGGCTGTGAGGTAAACCCTTACAGAATAGGACAATCAACACTAGGCATGAGAGTTGGAATGAGATACAAAATAATACAAGGCATTCCGGAAGGAATAAAATTACCATCATCAGCCACATCATACTGTATCCTAGGTATGTTTTTTGAGTAACACAGATCAATAAGGTGGCTTTGATTATGACAAAAGCAGGCAACAAGGGTTGATGCACTTGAACTGGCTACAGTTTTCTGAGAAAATTCTGTCAGCAAAACTTATGAGGAAAATTTCTTTAACTCTACCTAAAGGTAAAGTGAACCCTGTGACTTGTATGTAAAAGGAATCCCAAAACCCAAATTCATGTGAGTGATGCATTATGGTAGTGTTTCTGAACCTCATCAACTTTAAGCTGTGTGGACTTCCCCATGCTGTCTGGGGAATTCTGAGAGTTGAAGTCCACACAGCTTAAAGTTGATGAGGTTCAGAAACACTGCATTATGGTGTGGATGAACTTGGACTATAGCCCTGAAGCTTTTGTTTTTTTTTTAGTTAACCACTAAAAGTCTTTGCTGATTACAGTGTTATACAAAGCACATACAGAAATGTAAAAGTAAATCTCTTTTTCTTATTGTACATTTATAATAGCCCTGAAATGGAGAAGAATAAAGTCAATAATAAATATATTAATGTCAGCCAGTGAAATTATTAAGTTCAACTAACTAATGCATTTTTAAACATTCTTATTATAGAGCAAAATAAATATTCAATATGATTAGTTAAAAAAAAGAATATCAAGGATAAAAACCTAGAACCAAATTTTTAAAAGAATAAGTATGGGGAGTAGAAAGCCCTTTTAACAGTGTCCTAAACAAAATGTTCTTCTTGAAGAACCAGCTTAATCATGGTAGAAGTATGTTCTCTGAGTAATTTGGGAAGGAGTCAAATCTTCAGGAAGATGAAGTCATCTTGATGGTTTGAAGAATGACACTTAGCATAAAGTTTTTCACAAATGAAGTGCTCCTTTGAATAGAACATTATCTATCAATCGATCAATCAATCGATCTAACATCTATCTATGAAATAAAAACATTTTATTCAATATTTCTATCCAGAATTCATACACAGGAAGTTAATCTACTGGGGAAAATATTGTAATATAGATGATAATGGAAAAGATATTTGAATTCATCCTTTAATATAGAGTTGTTTAAAGTTGTTTGTTGTTAATTTTTCAGCCAGAGTAATTTCCCATGCTTTTAAATCCTACTAATTCACTAAAATCTGATGCTGCAGTTAACAAACCTGGCAGCTAACAAAAACAGTTGAATCCGTTTACAGCGATGCATGAATTTAGCAAATATGGAAATAAACCAACAGCAAAATTCATTATGAAAAATTATTGGGTGATAGTCACAATTTCTTCAAAAACTTTCTACAAAAAGAACTAATATATAATGTAGTATGTACCAACTTTCTTCCAACCCCACCATCTAGAAAAAGAATAATTCTTATAGCACAATTTTAGCAAACTGTAATGATACCTATAGGTTTTATTTAAGGTCACTTTATGAAAACATACAAACTATATTGGAAAGGAATCCTGTGCCACAAATAGTTCCAGTGACATTTGTTCAGGAATTATTCACTTAATTGGTATGAAGCTAACATGATTCTTGTGAACTTCCCTTTTGAAAAATATATCCACAGGATTTCAATCAAGAATTACAATTCTTAATTGTATAAAATTCCTTATATTGATCAAATGTATTCTCATCCTTAAAAAGAGAATAATCAAGATGCATTTGAATGATCAGGTGGGCAAAATAGAAAGGGGGATACTGGCTTGGTTATGATACTTGTGAAAAGGATCTTGCAACAGGAGTTAGAAACTCAATGTGATTTTGCAGTGTGAAATGGCTGCTGCATGAGACAAATACAATTTTAAATTGCATCATGATTCTCAAATCACAGGAAGTAATCATTCCACTTTATTCTGCTTTGGTCAGATCCCACCTGAAACGCTGTGTCCAGTTTGGGACACCACATTCAGGAATGATTCAAAATAAATGGAGCAGGGTCACAGAAGGGCAATGAGGATTATTATGAGTCAGGAATCAAAATCTTAAGAAGAGAGGTGGAAGGAACTGGGACTTTTTAGCAGTGAGAAGAGAAAATGGAGGGTTACTTTAGGACTCTTAAATCCCTGCAAGGATTCTACAAAGAAGGAGGTGAAGACCTGTTCTCTCTTTTCCCAGAACGTGAAGAAAGGAATCATGAATCTAAGTTACAGAAAGGTAAATTCCAGTGGAATGTTATGAGGTTCTTCTCATTAAGAGTAGTTGACCCAATTGCTTGGAAAGACGGTTGGCTCCCCACTGGATAGGTTCAAGTAGACATATTCTACCTAGTGGCAAGCAGGGGAGCTGCCCCCTGTATATTTTCTTTAACTACCACATTCCTGGTTAAGTGGGTTAGAAAAGGGAATGGGTTGAAAAAAAAGTACCCTACTATATTCTGGAGCCAATGAGGCTCCAGATATCAACAAGAAAAGAAAGAGTTAAAAAATGGCTGAATATATTCTAATTTTCTTCAGTTTTGTTCAAACTCAACAAAGAGTCCAAAGGAGAGACACTGTGCTAGGGTTCTTCTCCCTGTCCCACCTTCTGGTTATCCACTGCATCAGCACTTGGTACATTTGCCTGGGGGGAAAAGAAAAAAGAAAAACCCTCAAAGTTTGCTTTAGGCCGTAAGCAAAATGTACACAATAGTAAACAAAGACTGGGCTAAAGCTTAAAGAGAAAACTAAATTAAAGAAAACATAAATCCCATCTTTACATAATATAGTATACCCAAATAAAGAAGGAGTATTAAGGTTGTGGGAACTCAGCCATAGAGGACGGGGGCCTTCCTGTTTTTAACATAATATTCTAGCAATGGTCTCTACTTCTAACAACCTGCTTAGATGCTTTCAGCTTTTAAGTGAAATGACAGGATTTTGAGGGCAGACAGGAAAAAGATCAATTTTTACTTAAAAATTAGGACTTTGTAGAACTACGCAGGCTTTCATCTGCAAATATATGAATGCACCTCTTACAGGACTTTCCATGAAATACCAGCTCTCTAAAATATTTGGATCAAAGGCAGGAAACATTTTAGCTAATGGATTGGCTCAGTTCTTTCTTTTTTAGTATAGGTAGCCCTCATTTAGCGACTGCCTGCTTTTTGTGACTGTTTGAAAAAGTAACTTTGCAACTAATCCTTACATTTGCAACCTTTGCAGGTCTGTAAAGCAAAGAAGGGCTGAAGTAAGATCAAAAGCACAGTCGTGGTTTCCCTTAGTGACCTCTTTGCTTAAGGACTGAGTTGCTGTTACCAATTGTGATCGCTAAATGAGGACTGCCTGTATTTCCAAATTCTTCTGGCGCAGCACTAAAAGA